ACGTGGTGGAACCGTGTTTTCGGTCCTTGACCTCTCGAAGGCGTATTTACAGCTCGAACTAGACGAGCGAGCACAAGAACTGCTTACTGTCAACACTCATTTGGGCCTATTTAGGTTCAAGCGCTTGCCATATGGCGTAGCGTGTGCGCCGGCACTTTTTCAAGCCGTCATGGATCAAGTCCTGCACGGTCTGCCGGGAACCGCCTGCTATTTAGATGACGTTGTCATCGCAGGAGAGACACGTAAACAGTGTCATGACAGACTTGAGCAAGTGCTCATACGCCTAAGTCAGCACGGCATAAAGGTCAACGCTGAAAAATGCAAGCTATTTCAACAAAGAGTGAAGTATCTGGGGCACGAAATTGACAAAGATGGGTTGCACCCCACGGCAGAGAAAGTAGAAGCCATAAAAAACGCGCCAAAACCGGCTAACGTGACTCAGCTGAAAGCTTTTTTGGGCTTGGTAAATTTCTATGCGAAATTTTTACCTAGTCTAGCTACAGTGCTAGAACCGCTGCATGATCTGCTGTGCAGGGAGACGAAATGGCACTGGTCACGTCAGTGTGACAACGCGTTTAAAACTTGTAAAGAAATGCTGACTGATGAAAGTGTTCTCCAGCTGTATGACGTCACGAAAGATATTCAGCTAACGTGTGACGCGTCAGAATATGGCCTTGGGGTTGTCTTGGCACATATGGTGAACGGTGAAGAGAAACCAATAGCATTTGCGTCGCGATCACTTTCAACATCTGAGCGCAATTACAGCCAGATAGAAAAAGAAGCCCTGAGCATTGTGTTCGGCATAAAGAAGTTTCATAAGTACCTGTACGGGCGAAGTTTCAACGTGATGACAGATCACCAACCGCTGACGATATTGTTTGACCCTAAGAGACAGGGAAGCGCTGTTTCCACGGCAAGAGTGCACCGATGGCTGACCTTTTTGGCCGATTACCGTTACAAAGTAACGCACAAACCCGGAACGTCTATCGGCCACGCTGATGCTTTGTCGCGACTGCCACTTGCAGACACTGAGGAACACGCGGAAGATATTTTTTATTTTTCTTCGGTCAGTGATCTGCCACTCACTGCAAAAGACATCGAGCGTGAAACAGCCCGCGACGACCAATTAAGGGTTGTTCGCAACATGATATGGTCTGGATGGCCTAAAAGTGTGCCTGACGAACTGCAGCCATTTTGGACACGACGTCTGGAACTCTACATTGACGACGGTTGTATTATCTGGACAAACAGAATTGTCGTTCCAAAATCCCTGCAGAATGTTGTTCTAGGTTTACTGCATGAACAACATCTCGGAATAACAAAAATGAAAGCTGTGGCAAGGTCAATGGTCTGGTGGCCTGGTATAGACGAAACACTCGAGCAAACTGTACGGAAGTGTAAAATTTGTCAAAGTGTCCTGCCCGCAGCACAGCCTGCACCGTTGTCACCATGGAAGCTCTGTGAAAATCCATGGGAAAGAGTACACTTGGATTTTGCCGAGAAAGAAGGAAAGACTTTTCTTGTGGCGATTGATACTTTCTCCAAGTGGTTGGAAGTCAAGATAATGCACTCGACGACCGCATACAATACAGTTGAAACTGTCCGTTCTTTATTTGCATCGCATGGGCTGCCGATGGAAGTAGTGACTGATAACGGTCCGCAGTTCCGAGCCTCAGAATTTCGAGACTTTTTGAAAGCTAACGGTGTCAAGCACACGCTCACGCCGCCTTATCACCCGCAATCGAACGGGGCGGCAGAGCGTGCTGTACAAACAACAAAGAAAGCACTGCTGAAACAGTTGCTCGATGACAAAGAAAAAGGAAATACTAGGTCACTACAACATAGAATTGACAATTTTGTGTTTTCATATCGCACAACGCCGCACACGTTCACGGGAAAGACACCCGCAGAACTGTTCCTTAGACGGAAACTGCGAACTCGCTTATCGTTGCTACGGCCAAATATAAAAAGTGCAATGATTGAGAAAACTGAAAAAGTAAAAATGTGTGCCGATAAGCGTAGATCTAAGCCGAGATCTTTTGGGGTGGGCGACCGTGTACTTGTACGTTCTTTGCGTGGTGATGTGGTCAAATGGTTTCCCGGTAAAGTGGTTAACGTGAAGTCGCCATCCACATACTTGGTTGTCGTCGGAAACAAAGTAAGGTTTGTGCACGCTGATCATTTGCGACGATCGTCCATTGAAAGTTCGGAGCAGCCGGAAGGTAGCCCCGAGTTAGACATGCCGCATGCCGCAGACATAGTCGCTACACCTGCTGCTAGTAACCACAGCGGTGATCTGCCTGCACAGCCTGCACGTCACCCTAGTGTTATGCCTACCAGTAAGGAACCTCCTTGTGTCATACGGAGGAGCACGAGAGACAGGCGACCTCCTGATCGCTTCCGGTTTGATAATTTTCAATAGGAGTGTTTTGAATAATAGTTGGGGAGGGAGTGTCGTAGCTGCGTGTGTATGATAACAGCATGCCATGAAGTATGCACTTTTATGTATGACGTCAGAGGGCTGTGCGCCTGCGTCCGGTGTATCTTATCTGTATATATTGAGCCCCGATTTGATGTACCACTAGTTGTTGGTCCCGAGGCTGCCTGTGTTGCACTTCGCAATAAAGTGCTTTGCCAGACTTGCATCCCGGCCCCTAAATGTAACAAACAGTAATTTACATGACAAAACTCCCAAAATTAAAACCTATATTTTAGTCCCCCAGTCTCAAGAGCCTAATCTGCCTGATCTCAAAAGCCGAATCCCCGAGAATCCTGTCGGCAGCCCTTTTCTAGACTCGTAAGGGCCCCCTTTCCCTCCAGAGACGGGCCAATCACTTCAAATTTGCCCGTTGTCACGTGGTACACTCTTACCCAATGATCAGCGAGCTGTCAACGTGACCTCCCTCCGACACTTCAACGGTCAAACCCAAATTCTTTGTAGAGTCACCACATGCTTTCTTCACCGTCTGGCTGGCGCCACCAAGTTAAGTTATTGCGTCGACTAAAAGCGAAGTTTCTACACTAAGCGGCGAAATAAGCCGGACACAAGCACACTCGCCTAAAAGCCACAAGTGCGGACAGAAGCCCAAGACAGCGGTGTTCCGGCGCCCCAAACTGAAACCCAATCCGTTTCTTAACGACCGGGGTCCGACTCTTCCCCACCGAGCCCCGCGGCTGCTCGAAGCCCCCCGCGCTTGAGAGAACAACACGACTCCCCGTTTACGCTCTCACCCCCTGCCGCGGCTCTGTGAGCAAACGCCCAAAAATGTGGACCCAAACATAGGCAGATAAAAAACAAACACAAAAACAATGCCGACGCAACTGTAGAAAGATAGACTTTTCTAAAACAAATCTTACTTATTTCTAACAAAATCCTTCGTTACTTAACACTTGGCATTGGGTTCAGGCAATACCACCTAGAAGACAAGGCCTGCGCACTGATATGATGTTATGACCACGACATACAGCTGACCTGCCCACGGAACAGTGTACTAGCGCGCACCTTGTAGTACAGGCCGCAGCCGCAGCGCTTCGTCACGCTATGAGTTCGCGGCGCTGCACGGTCTTTTTGTTTCCTAGGGTACAGTGTACCTAGGGTATCCGCACATCAATAGACTAGGGTGCCTCAATGTTCTTCTGTTTAGGGTGATGCCACCCTTTGTAGTACCAGATGCCGACAGCACGCGCTCACGGGCAAAATACAAAGAAATCGACGAAAACAAAATGTCGCCATAGCACAGTCAGCGCCACACGCGCGTGCAGGAACACTCTCTTTCACGCGCTTCTCAACAAAAAATAAAAATAAACGTGTGTGACAAAATGGCGAGATGCCACCACCCTAAGCAAAGCGCGCATGAAGGCACCCTACAATAGACAATTTGCTATATTACCCAAGCATCAAGCGGAATGCAGAGATTGGTGTTCCACGCCCCCACACGCGCACGCCTTCCCCGTATAAAAGATTCGAAGTAAATACCCAAAATAAAGCGTTGACAAACGCGTGTGCAAGATGCCATTTGTTTTAGGTATTTGCTTTAGAATAGTTGCTACTGGCTGAGGCCAGCACGTGCTGCGCGTGGAACACCAATCCCTGCATTCTCCTTGATGCTTGGGTAATATAGCAATAGGTCTATTGAAGGCGCGCAAGGTGCGGCGGCCTTATCTGGTACTGAACTGCTCTCCTCGCGGGCCTCGCAGGATCTCGTTAATCAATGGGCGCGTGACAGATTCGCCACTAGAGGTGCCGGCTGCTAGCACAGTGGCTATCTATCGGTGTTCCGAGAACGTGCCTTATTTCGACGGTGGCGCAAGAGCAGTCGGTGCTAGTGCCACTAAATAAGCTACGCTTGAGAGTAACGACACTTGGCCATATTTTGTCTTAAAATCATGGTTGTCAGTTATCTGAAGATTTATCTGAAATTACAGGAAACGTTTTTCCACCCCTCAACAAATGATTGAACAGTTTGCTAGAGAGAAAATAAATATTACATGAGCTTCCTAACACCGAATCTAATGCTGAGGAAGTCGCACCTTTGAATCATGACGATCGGCAGTTGCGTCTGCTCTGCAAAATCCCCAAAATGGCGGCGCCCACAGCAATGTCGTAGAACGGAGTGCCGATACTCTAAGCGCAGCTCATTTAGTGGCTCTTGTCGGGGCTAAAAAAAAAATTGCAGTGGCTTAGCTCGGCTATGCCAGGATATACGTAGCGTGAGCTGAGGTTCAGCTGGTTATTCTTAGCTTTCCTGGTTGTCTAGGGTTAGCTTGATTATCATGCTTACTGCTGCTTCAATGACACACAGACGGTATGCCGGTATACGCATTATGTGATTACTTCGGATCCAATGAGTTAAGCTTCTCCGCTGTTCTTATTGCGGAGGAGGAGCCGTGTAACCGACCTTTCGGTTGCTCGTCAAAAGATCCCCAGGTGGTCGAAATGAATCCTCAATCCTCCGCTGGGGGGAGCCAGATGCCCGTCGTTGGTTTGGCATGTAATACCCCTGTCAGACGGGCATCTTGAAGGCCTTTAGGGTAAAGGTCCTTTAACTCAAATGTCATTTAGGCGGTGTCAGACGCGCAAGTCAAATGTCATTCGGGCTAAATGACATTTACGTTCAACGGAGTTACAACAACTCCGTTAACTCCCCAACTGCCTACTCTCGTCGACAGCGATCACGGATGACGACGAAAATAATAAAAAATAGATAGTCTCACTTAGGAATTCATCAGTTAGAATAAATTTTAAAACAATTTACGAAGCTGTCTGCTTACTTTAAAAAGACTTTAGCGCGACCACAGCAATCATGTTCTCTGCTCCTTCCTGTTCGTCGTAACTCGACTCGCCATTGTGCTCGCCGCTCTCCTTATCTCTTCGCTTTTGATCTTGTTTTTGTGTTCTTCCTTCTCCTTCGCTTCTGCTTTCGTTGTATTACTTAACTTTCATTTTGCAGTGTTCTTTTGTATTCCTAAATAGAAAGTTTTAATTTTTCCTTTTTCATAGTTTGTATTTAGTTTGTATTTTGTCGAACGATGACGGAGCCGTCGCAGAAGGGCCCGCGAGTCCAGTGGTCCGTCTCTGAGATTTGGGCCTTGATCGGCCTTTGGGAGGATAGGTTGTGCGACCTCCGGCGCCAAAAAAGGAATGGGGGGATTTACGCCGAAATGTCAGAGGCGATGAAGTTAATTGGGCATAACAAGTCCAAGGATCAAGTGCACAACAAGATCGAAAACCTCACGAGCGTCTACCGGTAAGCAATATTCATGAACCCTGTTTCCTTCGATATTATGGTGCACCAAGACCCGAAATCGGGTGTAAGAACTTTGGGAGAAATATTATAGTAAATATGTAGCTTTAATATTTGCCTCTGGCTCTAGGGTCGGATTTGGTCAACGATGAGAGCAAGATCTCGGCCACTATTGATTTTTAACTCAGCCGGCTCGCATTCACGGAACTAAAATATCGTAGCAGAATATCGTCTGCTGACGTGAGGGAAAAGGGGGAGTTCGTCTGCTATGAGTAATTAAAATAAAACATCTGCTAACACGGGAGAAAAAAAAAAAAAAAAGTGGGTCGTCTGCTCCGAGTTCGGCCCCGTGGGCGGTGAGATCGAAAACAAACTTGAATTGGGATTGTCTGCCATTTACCGAAGTACGGAACCGACGACCGTGCTTTGTTTGGAAATGACACAAGCGATTGCTGAGGAACAAAAATGCTTTGTTTGGAAATGGCATAAGCGATTGCTGGGGAACAAAATAATAATTATTACTCGAAACATCAGGATAAGAAGTTACCTGAAACGATCACTATAAACGTTTGCTTTCCTTTCTGAACACGTGAAATAATTCAAAATATGTATCGCAGAGATTGTGTCATGGGTGGTATTGAGAACCATATGGGGCACCAATTTTTAACAGGGCTCAGCAAACACAGGCTGAGTGGATGACTGCACCCCAAAAAGGATTTCTTGGCAACATGAGTCTTTAAATGCTGTGATCATGTGGCTAGCGAGAAAAGATTTGCTTGTTCCACCGCAAGATTCTGAACCACATCTGAAGTAGTCGTGCTCAAAACTCAGCGGAGTGGCTTGTAAAGCTTCCAGAAGTTGAATCCTCCAGTTCCTGAAGTACACAAACTAGTTGAGACTCGTGGCAATAACACGCAAAGCACTATTTAAGAAAAGACAATGGAGGGGGACTCATTACGCTTGGGTGTTTCCACCACCGAGTTTGATATGCAGTCCTTAGTCACTGCTCAGAACCTCAAAAATCTTGTATTCTCGTTCCTAAGCAAGCTCTTAAGTATTTTAAATGTTGCCCTCTTGTCTGTTTGAATGTCTTGCTTGTTTGCTGCCCTTTTTGCATCAGATGGAAACTGTTGGAGTAGCAGATCCTCAGCACCTAGAACCAATTAATGAATGCTGCCTTTTGGGTGGTTACAAGATCCAGCTCATGACAGGATAGCAATGCTTATGACTTTAAATCACAAGTGACAAAAGACACTTTTGCTTATGCATTCCCAAAAACTTGGCAGACTTTGGAGTGGTCACTAGCTTTGTAAAATGGCCCAGCCTTGCACTGGAGGTTGCCTTTGCAAACATATTTGCATACATTATAAATTTTATTGAGCTTGCTATATTATTAGGAAGCACCTGCGGACGGCCAGCACAACCGGAGCAGGAGGAGTGAACTGGCCGTTCTACTGGGAGATTCACCGTTTCCTGGGATCCCTGCCCGCAAACGACAACACTCTCGTGGACGAGAGCTTGTGTGCAGATGATGTGACACCAGCTGTGTTGGAGGTAGGCAGTACATGTTGCACTAACGTTTCACCCACAGAGTACTAACAACATTCCTAATCTCCAAATTTGTGCATGCATTCGTAATCTCCTTTACAGAAAATCTCTCAGTAACAAAGTACAAACTTTAGTGCAGATGTTGTAAGCTAAAACACTTTTCATGAATCTGTCCGCCCGTAATTTCGTCTTCAATGAGGACTAAACAACCTTTAATCGAAACAGCCAATGATGCAGTGGTGAGAGAGTAAATAAAGTTCTTCACGCCCACCATCAACCAAACTGCTGAGATTAGTTTTTCGTTCCCGCTCTGGTATGTTTCGCAAATCGTGACAAAACTATGTCGCGGTTCTTCGGAGCCTTACAAGAATTGTAAATTAGGGATGATTTATTGGGCGTGTTCAGTAGCGGCTCCCTCAGCTCCGAACGGAGTCACTCGAGTCGGAATCCTCAGAGCGCCTACTGAACGGCCAAAAAAACCGCGGCTCCAAACCTGCTTCTACGCTATTTCCGCTTCCTCCCCTGTGCCAGACGGTCTCCGAATAAACTGGAAGCAGACGATAGCGAGCACGATCGCTTTTATTTGACACCGGTATTCATAAAGTCTTGACAAGGTCGTTAAATAAAAAGCGAGTCACTGTACACATCAGCGCTGCTGTTCGAAGCGATCCAACGCGATCAAGCACTTCACTTGGCGGTGCAAAGGCAGCTACTGTTATAAAAACCGACAAAATGTCGTCAGCGGACGCAAAATATGGAGCTCGGCAAATCTACGCCGCCGGTTGCGATACTTTTATATGGCCATACGTCTGTTCTGCCCTTCGCAACAAACTTCCTATAAAATGTACTCGTATACACACCGGGAAGTTCGGCTGCGCTCGGCGATCTAGGTTTTGTCGGCCAAGGCGAGCGTCGGCCAACGTGCACCCCGATTTAGCTATGCAAACAAAACCTTAATCGGGATCATGCTCTGTGTGAGTGTCCAACTGGCTACCGAATTCGCATTCATAGCCTGCCTTGCTCTGTTCAGCACGGACAGGATTTTCGTCGATATTCACCGAGTTTCAGAGCAACGGCGATCAAGACATGCCGTCCAGTGAACGTTTACATTGTTTATTAGCATATTCAAACCCAACAAAATACGGTCCAATGCATTTTCCGAAAAAGCCTTACCTGAAAAGAAATTCAAAGAAAATGTGTGAATGAGTCAGCGCCTAAGAAGGAGCGCTGACTCTTGACTCCTGGAGCCGCTACTGAACGCGCCCATTGAGATGATGTGCAGTCTACTTGGTTTAAAAAACATCCCATCCACCAGTGGAGTCAGTGCCTCATTCACACAATCATCAAGCTATAAGTGAATCTTTGTGCATGCCTAATTGGGCATTTGGGATTTACAGACACACATCACATGCTGCAATGAAGTTGTCTCCTGCTAAGTCATGTTTGGACATAAACAGGGGACTTGTCTGGACAATGATCATAGTGCAGGAAGGACTATCTGCAACTCGAGCTGGGCATATGGCACCAAGTGTTCTAAATTCTAACCAACCCAGTGACAGTCTTGCGCCAATTTTTTTTTTTTTGCTTCAAGATTCCTGGTTGCTTGGCGAATAAAGCCTAAAGTTGTCAAATGAGGGCTGGAGGGCATGTGCTTGGAGATGAGAATAGGCCAATTTAATAAAACTGTTTCGCTTCTGGTTCGTAATTTTCAAACGGATTGGTACACACTTAACGTTCGGGCATGTAGGTTTTGAGCAGATTGGTGTACACTTTCTGCCGTTTGTCATATTGTTTTACGCGAAAGCGAATCTTTGCTAGTGTCTATTTTTGTTCTGGTGAGCCTCAGAATCACGGCCCCAAGTGGCTTCTTCAACGACGGAACTCTGGAAGCACGATCAGGGATATCTCTCGAGTCATGTAAACCTTCATTTACTCTGTTTTTATCCCTATCGTAGAAGCTTTGGGCACGTCTACCGGAGCCATCTTGGTCATCTGCTAACTTGCTAGCATGTATTAACTCTGAATGAAGGATGAAGGCTGGTAATATTTAAAATTGGGTGCTGGCCTTTGCTTCTTTATGTTGCTGAGAAATACGGCAAGTGCAGTTGATCAAAATGCTAAAGTAGAGCAAGGAGAAAACATATGGCCTTCATTGCCTCTGCCCATTGAAAAAGCATAGAACGGCTGCGCACCAAGATGGATGTCGGCCGGATTTTGAATTGAAATGGTACACGTGAAACCACCCTATACACAGAGTAGGTAGAAAGCCAAACTAGTTTCAGAGGGAGACTGTGTACAAATGACACTTGCCATGCACCTACCAGAAGGAATAACGAGTTTGAGGGTTGGGCTAATTGGTAGTTGTTAAACATAATGAGATAAAACGGCGCAAAAAGTCATAAAAGGAAGCGACGGACAGGACAGAGCGCTGACTTGCTGCAGTGTTCAAGGTACGAGAGATTACTGTGTTTCTAGTTTCTAACAAAATTTATCCTATCAGCTGCTTTCAGAAACACAGGCAGAGGATGTCCCGTCAGACGACATGAGGGACGACACATCCGACGAGACGTCCCAGGAGCTGCCTGGTGCGAGTACCAGCGAACTGCCTGGTGCAAGTACCGGCGAGCTGCCTGGTGCGAGCACCAGCAAATCTAGGAGCGGCCACAATGCTGGCAGCAGCAACCCTGCTGGCCGTGGAAAGAAGGCCGGTGGTGCCAGTAATGGCACAACTATCATGTTGCCGCAGGTGCCAGAGTCAGGAAAAAGGAAAAGACCCCCGCACCCCTCTGCCACCCTCGCAAAGGCGGTAATTGAGGAGCAAAAGTTGCTCCGTTTAAGTTTGGAAACGGCTCGGGGCCGTGAGTTCACTCTGCGGGAGCAGGAGCTCAAAATTCAAGAAAAAGCACTGGCCGTGCAAGAAAAGCTTGCGAATGCCATGATGGCCTTTTTCAATAAAACAGGCTAGAGCGGAAGCTGTAGCTTCAAAAAAGTGGTGCTGCTTTTTTTTTTTGTTTGTTTTTCTTTGCTGACAAATTATTTTGGGCTTACCAGGGAAGTAACATCATCTTAAAACCACAAATAACAAGTTTAGAACAGATAGTGCTTGCATGACATTACAACAGTGACAGCAACAATGGGTATTTATTCACCACAGCTGGGATCCAAAGATACACAGGTCCACATTCCGAAGGTGGACAGTAAATAAGAGTGTGGCAACCATCGGCAAAATAGTAATCATACAATGTGAAATACAATGAACAGGCATGCTGCATAAACTAGATAGAGAAAAATTAAAAAAGAGCAAGCCACACACAAGCCTGTTAAGGCATGTTCCATCCAATTGTTGAAAACATCTTTCCAAGCCTGCAGCTGAAATGTTCCGAGACATAGCAAAAGAATTGATTACATCATCACATCAAAGCATTTAAAAGTTTACTACAACGCTTAAATCAAGTACACTCTGGAAAAGCTTTTTTTTTTTCTCTCCTATACTTCTTTTTACCTTTGGAACCGCAACAAAAAAAAGTCTGACTCCTTGCAGACATTTACAAATTTTCACCCTTTATATGGTGCATCAAGATACTTTATGGGAGTTTGTGGTTAGTCATTGTTACAATATCAAAACATGTTTCAAGCACAAACAAATTTGAAAAGAGTACATGACGGCGGACGATGCAGTGTGTAGGCTTCAGAGTGCAGCGGATGCCAGGAGCTGATGGCGCCAATCACGGCATGCAAAAGAGCAACGTTAAGGCTCTCCTCTTTCCTAGAGGGCATTCTTAGGGGCTAATCCAATCAAATGCAGCAGGAGAGAAGAGGGCGATGATGTTACGATTCTAATTCTGGGATTTTAGTAAGAACTACTTAGTGCACCTTATGAACATTGTAAAAAAAAGAACTTGGTGTTTTCTTTACATGGGAACGATAATAGAATAACTATATCAAGCAACATCCACAAGTATGAACATATGTGCCAAGGGTCTGGAAGGATTGTTTCCCTCGACAACACTGTTGTGCCACCATTGACCCTGTGCTTGAACTGAAGCAAAAGCCCGAGATATATGTCGATAAACTGAAAGTGCAAGTTTTAACTATCGTGTTCATAATTGTTTGAAACAAAGCAACTTCTTTCTTCAGCAGGGAGAATAATAAAAATAAATTGCAGGGTTTTCTCTTTAGGTTAAAAGCACTAACAAAAAAAAATTGGGGTGTCTGAATGCTTATACAGCCTAGCACTTTGTCTGCCTCAATGGGCAATTTGTCTCCCAGCTGTAGATGAGAAATTTAGCTAGTGCAGTACAACCGCTAGCCTGGGGTCTTTAAAATTCATCACGCAGTAGTGATACATGACCGCACGCCAGTACAATGCGCTCATCCACATCGAAACAGGCAGGGGTGGGGATTGAACCCAGGATCCCCCAATTCTGCAGCGTGAGCTTTTGCTCCACGTGCTCCAAGCTCGTGTGTGCTAGCCTACTCAGCCACCAATCCTCCTAAAGCTCTAACATACCAAAAAAAACATCCCTGAAAAAAGAAAATACAAAAGAGTATTTTTCAGTGCTATATTGTTCAATAGATGTCAATTGATGAATATTTCCACAACCAGAGTACAAAACCGCTCACGAGTCTCAGTATGGGAGAAATGCATGCGGATATAATCTCTTGCGGTCTAGGTCTTCGCTATCAATAAGAGCACTCAATATGCGGAGCTCTGATTAATATTGTCATTAATTTTGAAAAGAGTCTGATTCGCATTTAATTGATAATCACTATGTTGGTCAGCCACACGCAATAGCTTGCCCTTTATCGACCGTTTCACTGTTCTGAAATATCTCAAATAAAAGTGTGTGTTACGTTTTTGGATCAAGCTTTTAATATGAAAATAGAATGTGCATGATTGCAATTATTGAATTTTTGGGACGCTTCAAGCTCATAAATTAAGTTACTGCCACAGAAAGTCAATGTCAGAAAAATCATTAGATATGCAAGTTCCTTGAAACAGTCGTACTAAGTGGAGAAGCTATTACAAAAAAAAGTTTCCATTAAGAGTCTTGTTCTCCAAATATGTTGGGTAGCTGAATTACTGTATGTATGAGCAAAGTATGAAATTTGGACATAGTAATGCTGCACATACATACCGGTAAACAGACCAGCACATATGCAGGTGGCAGGGAGGGATTGACGATAAACCATGCAACTTCCGAACAAACAGTAAGGCCAGCTAGCTTCACCAAGAGGTGTGGGCATGCACAGGGCTAGTGCAGTAAGTTGGCTTCACATTTCGTTTGGAAGTTGGATGATCTTCCATCGAGTCCTTCCTGCCACTTGTACATGTGATGTCATCACTAGATTACGTTGAGTGTTGCTGCGTGTTCCGCCTATGGAGGTAGGCTGCTATGGCTGCCCTCACGTCCTGTCCATTTCCAGCGGCAACATCCGTTCTACAGAGAGGTTGCAGGAACATGCGGTCGTAGAGCTGCACCTCGGTGACCCACTGTGGCTCAACCCCATCATTGAAGTGCTCGCAGATGTTGTTGAGCACACAGCAGGCTCGGATGATGACCCTGGCATTGTCTACATGGCACTCCATTCTTTTCATTATGCAGCGAAAGCGTGCCTTCACTCTGCCAAAGGCGTTCTCTACTATCCTTCGTGCTCCCGAGAGCTGCTTGTTGAAGCTAGCTTCCGGAGAACTATCCTTTAAGCCCTTGCGCGGATAGGGCTTGAGGAGGTTTGATGTGAGAGGGAAGGCCTGATCGCACAAGATCAGTGGTGGCACAACAGCTCCATTCACAGTGACAAGCGGAGCTCGAAACAACGGTCCTTCCAAGACCTTTGCAAGCTCCGACCTGCGGAAGACGTGTGCGTCGTGGCATCGCCCTGGTGCTCCCACGTTGACATAGCGGAACCTGTAGCGGTGGTCCACCAGAGCCAGCAGAATGATGCTATACCTGAAAAAGAAGCATTGCATGCAGGCAGATTTAATTATGAAAATCCCAACACTTTGAAATGCTTCGTTTGGCTGTTTGGCACGGAGATCTTCTAATTGTTGATATCCCAAATGTTAAATGGATACAGAAACCAAAGTCTGGAGCTCATCTCTTTGCTTATGGAACTTCACCAACACCAATATTTCGTAGGATAATGCAAGAAAACATAATTTGAACTGAATACAATGATAACCAAGAACCATCTCGTGGATGTCTTGAAAGCTTCAATGGAATGTCGTGCCAATAACATGCAAGTAAAGGCCTGTTCACACCTGCAACTGAGTAGGACGGAGAGAGACAAGACCCTCTTGGCGATGGCCTAGGACAATTTACAAACCCCGCTAGAACCAGACAAGAAAACGACTGAGCCCGGAGTATAGCTGTCCGACGGCAGAAACTGTACTTCAAGCCATCATTACCGAGTGCCCCAATTATGACAGGAACAGGGACAATGTGTACACCAGACTCGCTGTCAAGAGGCAAGTTTCTACGGATAATATTGTTTCTGGTGCTATTAAAAAGATGCGAAACATCTGTCAATGCACCCTTGAATTTTTTTTGTGGTAAAGGACTCTTGCAGAATACACCAAAACAACAGAGACCCGGGGTGAGGGGGGGGGGGAGGGGAGGGAAGGGAAGGGAAGGGAAGGGAGGGAGGGAGGGAGGGAAGGGAGGGAGGGAGGAGGAGGAGGGAGGGAGGGAGGGAGGGAGGGATCAGTGGCCGAGAGGGCTAGCGCACAACAGCTCGGAGCATGTGGAGCGAAAGCTCGCGCTGCAGAACCCAGGGATCCTGGGATCCCCATCACTGCTTGTTTCGATCTGGATGAGCATCGTACTGGCGTGTGGTCATGTACTGCTACTGCGTGGTGCTTGTTAAAGACCCCAGATTAGCGATTGTACCGCACTGGCTAAATTGCTCATCTACAGCTGAGACACCAGACGCCCACTGAGGCAGGCTAACTTCCGGCTGTGTAAACAGACGACAATTTGCATACAGAGACGTATGGTTCAAGAGAGCTCTCGGGCTAAACCCTTAACTAGCCAATGACAGCACCAGCGCTAGATGCTGGCGTAACCTAGGGAAAGTTAAACACAAACAGGCCACCACCACTACATACCAGCCCTTGTAGTTGTGGTAGTCGCTTGCATTTTCTTGGGGTGGTGACACCGGGAAGTGGCACCCATCCAGCGCTCCAACTCCTTGCGGAAACTCCAACGCAGCTTGGAACTCTCGGATATGTTCCGGCAGCTCCTTTGGGGTCATCAGTTTGACCCATTCGGGCTCGAGGACAGCCACAATCGTCTCGCAAAACTCCCGGTACAGTTCATTGACTGTCGATCGGCCGATACCGAACAGGGTGGCCACCGTCCTGTCCTCGGCCGTGGAGCATAGTTTGAAGAGGGCCACTCCCACCCGCTTCTCCATTGCGATCGTCTCCCGCATGCAGGTGACTTGTCGCTCCATGTAAGGCCGGCACACATCAACAAGGTAGCGAAATGTAGCTGGCCTTACACGGAACGCCTGTTTGAAAAAGTACTCCGGCATGTTGGGCAGGGTGTCTTCGAACCATCGCTCGTGCCTCGCGAAGGACTGCACCTGCCGATGCACTGTGAGGCAGTCCACCGCTGTTGTTGCGAGCACGAAGTTATTTGCCAGCATTTGGTCCTCCAAGCGATCGGCCTCACTTTTTGCCGATGACACGGCAGCTCGGACGGCAGCCAGAGAGCTTTGCTGCTGCGCGTGCATGCATAAAAGTAGAGCGACCTGAGTCTCTGGCGGCTCTGAATGTTCCATTGTTGACACTCTCAGAAGCAAACAAATCGAGCAGACGAGGAACCGTCCTGACCGAGCAGACGAGGAATCACGGCAGCGCGAGGAACGATGGCGAGCTCAGTCGCTCAAAAGCTCAGTTGGCTCAGTTTTCGAGCGGGAACATCATTGTTGCCTTTAGAGCGGGTCATACCAGCCAGTACCACCCAAAAGTCGCTTCGCTAGCAAAAACACTGCGTGTATTTGTTGAAAAAACACTATATAAACACAATCCATAATATTTTTTACACAAATAAATGGCAATACATCAGTAATTTTGTTTTATTGAGCCATTTATTTTGATAAATGAGTGACTGCTGTCTCTAACAAATCGAAAAATACAATTGCAATAAACATCTCCTAAATGGCATTCGAGATGTTCTCCGACACGTCTGACACCCGAAAGCTTGAATGACCTTTGAGAATCTCGAAGGCCTTTGGCCTAAATGGCATTTGAGTTGACCGTCTGACAGGGGTATAAAACCCCTAAATTTGACTTTTTTTGCGCCAGCTGTGCACCGTGTTGTTCTGTATCAAGCAACCAAGCTGCCGCCCAGAACAACCGGACAGCGCGAGCCATGATCGCGAGCGGGTGCATGCGCGCGGCTCGTGCATCGGGGACTGACCTAGGCGCCATACCAGTCCTGCCTAGTCCTGCCCGTTCCGTCACTGCTCCTCGCGCATGCGCAGCACGGCTCTCCAGGAGCCACGCGAAACTGCTCAACCTCTGCCAGTGTAGCTTACGCTACAAAACCGCCCTTGCGCTACCGTGCCTGAGAAACGCGCTCTTTCGATCCAAACGAACATGAGAGCGATGCCGGCGATGCGTTCTGCTCAACAAGGCAGAGGGCCTTAGAGCGATAAACTGGCAGCTGAAAGTGATCCCCAATTGGCCATTGCCATATTGCACATTTTTGACATTTTAGTTTAACGTCTAGATTTGAACGAAGTACCGACGGACAAATAATCGCTTATTGATCTTTAATAACAGTACAGACGAGATAAGTTACGTTTCGTTTGTTTTAAGTCCGAAATGAGCTTTTACGACAAAAACCCGGGAAGGTTCCCGGGTTTTTGTCGTAACCGCGGCTGGCGCAATCCGTCAGCCGCGGTGCTGTATTTTGGGTTTTTATCGGAGCTAGACAGTGATCTCTGGGGCTAACAGTATTGAAAAAAATAGTTTTTCATGTTTTTTACAACGATCGCAATTCCAATCTCGGCTCAATTTTGCGTAAAATCCTCAGGGATTGGTACGGTCACGTGTCTAGTGGTCAACATTGTACCATATAGCGGCAGCCAAGTGGGGGTAACTTTTGCCTGGGGAACGGGATACCTGTTTATCGCTCTAAGCCCCTCTACTTCGCTGGTCCTGCTGCAGTGTGTTACTCCATGTGTGCTACTGCAGCCTGCTGGCACCACGCTGAGGCAGGTACTCTCGAAAAACGGTAATTATACTCCGTTTCACCTTATGTTGTACCGCAGCGAAGGCTAGACGCGCGAGATCATAGCTTTGGCAGCTGCCTTTAATGCACGAGAGCTTGTGCCACCGAGATGTGCCCCAGAGCAAGCAGCTCGCGCTTGTAGCCTTTCCTGCGGTACATCATAAGGTGAAACAGAGTATAGATATCTCCAGCCGCACACCCTGCGAGTCGTGCGCTAGAGGCGCTAGGGAGGCAGAGTGTGAATCAAGTTTAAGTCACAAAAAAGCTAGAGTTCCTGTATAGGCTCCCTACGGGAGCCAAAGTTGCGCATCTGTTTTCCACGTGCCGCCGCGCCGCTATTCGCCGAGATCCGACCACGTGAGGAGCCGGATCAAGTGCCGTGCAGGAAAGTAGACGTTGCACGCGCCCGGCGTACGTTCCCCTGCTTTTGAGCGCGCCGCGTGCCTCGAACACGCGGCGCCACTATTCGCCGAATTCAGTCACGTGACGAGCGGGATCAACATGCCGTGCAGGAAAGACGGCGCTACGTAGATGAACGCGCAACCCTGGCGCCCGTAGGGAGCCTATACATGAGCTCTAAAGAAAGCCTTTGCTGAGTGCCCCCAACGGCAAAACGAGGCACTCCGTTGACGACAGCGTCTCCCATAGGGAGCCATTCTGTGGGAAGATGAGGATTACAATAGGTCGTGGTTATGATGCTCTCAGCAACGTTAGCTCTCAGATCTTAGAAGAAGAGGACTTCCGGTTAGCACGCTGGCTTCGCGCGCGCCATTGCCTTTGGGACTTAGGACGAACTGACATGGGTGCCGTTTTGATCTCATTTATTACTTATTGAACAGTTTGTATAAACAATCCTTCTGACCTCAGCTAGCAACATAGCCAGGTGTCAGAAGTAAACAAGTAACTCAACGTCCATATCTATCAATGAACAAGCAACAGTAACAATATGGCAACTACTTTGCGACAACCACCGGCTTCGTTCCAACCTAGTAACTACCCATTAGAAGCATGAGAGGAGTGGGATCCTCGTACCGCATCTTCGAGGCAGCCTATGAGTACGCATCTAAGCCTATCGCAACTCGGAAAGTTTTTCAGCTCCACTGGCTTGGACCTTAGGCAGACCAATTGCGCAAACCTTTCCTCCATTATCAACGGGAGCTGGTGAAAGTGTGCAACGTGAAAATGCAGTAGATCACATACTGCATGAATTTGATAAACTGTAAGTAACTTACAAAGGCGTCACTCAAGGTAGATCCATTTTTACACAATGAGCCAAAAGCCAGACAAACCATTGACGAATTTGTAACTGAGGTGAAACTCCAGCATCAGAAATTCGAGTACGGTGCTAAAGAAACCAGGTTCATTAATAATCGTTTCATCATTGGGATGCGAGACACAGCTTTACGCGAACGATTGTTCCGTGAAACACGCCAAAATATGCAGACCGAAGACGAACTTAGAGTTGGCGAACTCTCTCGTCAGCCAGCTAGTTCAGAGCAGCGGAACAAAGGTATCAAACACCCGAACCTCAAAAAGATCAATCCAGCAACCGACAACAAGGTTCATGCTCGAGATGTGGCATACTTCCCATCAGCCCCGCAACTGCCAAGCTTATGGAAAGAAGTGCCTCTCCTGCGGAAAATCAGGGCTTTTGTTCCGAATGTGCAACCAGACAAAGCAAAACAAAAGCTACGAATATCGACGTGTTTCCGCAGTAGACTTCCAACTCACCCAGAAAAAATGAGCCCAGCGGAACAATTCATTTAGGGGGCATTGTGATTGGCTCGATTGGA